AGGGCGCGGCTGGCGGCAGCGACACGGCGTGCGCCGAGTTGGGGGATGTGATCTCGAAAGTTGGCACCTGCGTGGCCAGCGAGTAGTGGAAGTCCACCGGAGAGAGGCGCGCGGGCGTGGTCAGGGCCGACACGTACCTGCGGGGAGAGGAAGAGGCGTGGGCGCGGGCGGAACCTTCGAAAAGCAAAGGTCTGCCCGGAGACCACGCACACCTGCAAAACGAAGGTGCTAATCGTTAGTGACTTTAAGCAATTTCCTTAACCTTTCCCAGCCTGTTTCTTTATTTCTTTATCCTCAGCGAGGATAACCACGGGTCTATAAATATATCAACGGGATGTTATAGTCCAGTGTCTGCCCGTGAATGGTCCTTTGTTACTTTGGGTCAGGCTCAGGCTAGGGCATTTGACATGTATGATCTCATATAGTACATTAACTCTATAGGACCTTGTCCCATGTAACATACTAGAGGCCTGGTGCATGGAATTTGTGCACTGGTGTGTGTGTGTGTGTGTGTGTGTGTGTGTCCCTCAGCCCTGCCAGGTGCCCTCTTGCAGTCCTGGAGCCCTGGGGGGGATGTCCGACTGAGGGGAGTGGGCCTAAGCCCTCAGTCAGACATCCTTAGTGCTGCCAGGAAGGCAGGAGAGGCTCCCCCCACCACTGGTGACAGCTGTCAGCCGGGTTTCTGGCTGAGTGGCACTCCCACTGACCACCAGGGGGCAGCTCTGCACTGAGTGGCTGCCCCCTGGTGGTCAGTGCACATTGTAGCAACCAGTCGTTCTGCCATTTGGTCAATTTGCATATTAGCCTTTTATTATATAGGCTGAGACTGAGACTCAGAACCTTTAAGTCACTCAAGGTTCAACAGCCAGGAAGTGATGGAGCTGGGATTTGAACAGAGACTAGGCAGGAACCAGAACTCATAGTGCCCAATTGTAGAAGCCATTCAGTCATCCCTGAGACTTGGACTCACTGTCCTTGCAGGGACAATTCATCCCATGGCTAATGGCTTCAGTGGGGGAATTATTATTAATTTTATATTGAAACTAAAAGCTGCCTCAGGGAAGTGACTGCTCACACCTCAGATAGGATCCTCAGCCCAGGACTGACAGCTACCAAGATCCCACCAAGGTCTCTCTTTGGGGCTAAAGAATACCAGTGCCTCCAAAAGTTGGCCTTTGCTAATATCTCCTAGTCTGGATCCCAGACACTTCTCGCTTTTCTTTGTCCACACCCCCCTTGCTGAAGTCCATCAGCCTCTTGCTCAACATTTGTCCACCTCAGCATAGGGACCGCATACTTCCATGCCTCTCTTCCAAATTGTAGAGCTGGCACCTCACTGCTCTCTGGAGTCCCCATTACTCTCTTTCTCAGTCACCTGATTCCCCTCTCTTCCCTCTCCCATATGCACATCCAAATAACCACCAAGTTGAACTCATTCACCCCTCTCCTGGAGCCACCTTCCTCCCTGCTTCACCCTATGGGTTGTGATTTGGAGTCCCCACCCCCACTCAGGCTGTAGGCTGCTTTCCCATCCAAGGCCACCTCTAAGCAAAAGCCCAGGGTCATCAACTATCCATCTGGCCCCAACTGCCTATTCAGGCCCAGCTCTCTCTCCACAGCTCACTCTGCTCCAAGTACCTCACTCACCAGCCATGTTCTGAAGCGCCTCTGCTAGAACAGCTCAAGCTGTTCCCTTTGCCTGGCAGCTTTCCCCATTATACTACCTCCCAATGATTAAGCAGTCCTATTGCTATTGATAACAACAGCTACACCTAGGGAGTACCAGCTCCATGCCAGGTAGGAGGCAAAGAGCTTTGTGCATGGGATCTCTGGTGGCCGTCACAGCCATGATGATGTTCCTGTTCTACAGCTGAGAAAACAAAGCCACAGTGGTGAGCAACCTGCCCCAAATCACACAGGTGGTGGAGCTGGGTCTGGAGAACCTGGCTGCTTCCCAGAGCCTGCAGTCACACTGGATTTCTCTGCCCTGATTGGGTGTCCTGTGCTTAGCACTTTCCATAGGCAGCTGTGAGCTTCAGCGGTTTGTGCCTGTGGCTTGGAGCTCCTTGGGAGCAAGAACCATGTGGATCCCCACCATGTGGACCCCCAGGCAGACCTGCCCAGCACAGGGACAGCCTGGAGTAGGCTGAATTGAGAGTAGGAGAACATCTGCTCTGCTCCCTCCACTCCAGCCTGTAGTTCTGCTCTCCTGCCACTGACCCCACTTGCCAAGGGCCACTTGAGGGCTGAACAAGAAGGGGCCTGGCCCCTGTGACTTCTGACTTGGAATCAGGGAGAAAGGAGTTTCCTGGTCCTCACTGCATCCAATGCTCAGGAACCCAATGATGTCATGATCCACGGGGCCTTGTTGGTACTGCCCAGGCCTGTGGTCATTCTTGGCTCATGCCCATCCTGCACTGGTCAGTCTCTTCACAGACAACCTTCCCTCCCATCCTCCATTCTGCTCAATCTTAGTGTC